GAGGAAAAAGAATTTTTCATCTGCCCTTCTAAGTTCTTCTGGCTGGTCTAATAATCAAACTGATGTGAGGCAGATGAACAGGAGAAAATAGCCAAATTTGGACTTCTGGCCAAGATGGAGGTGTAGGTAGATATGTTTTGCTTCCTTGTACAACCAAAAGAAGGACAACAAAAATAAAAACAAAAAACAACCAGAATTGCAAGAAAATTGAACTGTGTGAAAGTCCGACAACCAAGGAATTAAAGAAGAGAACATTCATCCAGAATGGTAGGAGCAGCAAGAAACAGGCAGCCGGGGCAGAGAGAACACAAGGCAAGGCGACAGACTAGGTGGTCAGGGTGGCGCCTGGCAGACTGGGAAGTCCCACATTTGGGTGCGAATAAGCTGGAAGGAACAGCTGAGGAGCGAGACAGACCCCACAACTCAGAGTTCCGGTGTAGGGAACTAAAGCCTAAAAAAACTCTGACTATAAAAACCTGTGGGGGTTGAGGCGGTAGGAGAAACTCTCAGCCTCACAGGAGAGTTCACTGAAGGAGCGCATGGGGTCCTAAAATGTACACAAACCTACCCACCTGGGAATCAGCACTGGAAGGACTCAATTTGCTTGTGGGTAGCAGAGGAAGTGACTGAAAGCCGGCCAAGAGCTCAGCAAGTGGCATTGTTCCCTCTCAGACCCCTCCCCCACACACAGTGCCACAATGCAGTGACATGGGTTGCCCCAACCTGGCAAATACCTAAGGCTCTGCCTGTCAGATACAGAGTTCAGAACATGGGTAATCCAGATGCTCACAGAAATTATTGAGTACAGATGCAAAATAGAGGAAGAAATGAAGGTTATTCAAAGTGAAATAAAGAAAATATACAGGGAACCAACAGAGAAGGGAAGGAAACCAGGACTCAAATGAACAATGTGGAATAGAAGGAAGAACTAAACGTTCAACCAGAACAGAATGAAGAAACGGGAATTCAAAAAAATGAGGAGAGGTTTAGGAATCTCTGGGGCAACTTTAAATGTTCCAACATCCAAATCATAGGGGAGCCAGAAGAAGAGGAAGGGCAAAAAATGGAAAACTTACTTGAAAAAATAATGAAGGAAAACTTCCCAATCTGGTGAAGGAAATACATTTCTGAGAAGTCCAGGAAGCTCAGAGAGTCCCAGAGAAATTGGTTCCAAGGAGGAACACACCAAGACACATCATAATTAAATTACCCAAGATTAAAAATAAGGAGAGAATCTTAAAAGCAGCAAGAGAAAAGGAGACAGTTCCCTACAAAGGAGTTCCCATAAGACTTTCAGCTGATTTCTTGAAAGAAAGCCTACAAGCAAGAAGGGGCTGGAAAGAAGTATTCAAAGTCATGAAAGGCAAGGACCTACATCCAAGATTACTCTCTCCAGCAAAGCTCTCATTTAAAATGGAAGGGCAGATAAAGTGCTTCCCAGATAAGGTCAAGTTCAAGGAGTTCATCATCACCAAGTCCTTCCCTTAGTATATGAAATGTTAAAGGGGCTTATCTAAGAAAGAGAAGATTAAAAAATACCAACAGCAAAATGACCACAAACTCACAATGCTCAACAACCGAACCAAAAAAACAAAAACAAAAAGGGCAAACTAAGCAAACAACTAGAACATGAACAGAATTACAGAAATGGAGATCACATGGAGGGTTATCAGTGGGGAGGGGAGAGAATAGGGCAAAAGGTACAGGGATTAAAAAACATAAATGGTAGGAGCAAAATAGACGGGGAGGTTAAGAATAGTATAGGAAATGGAGAAGCTGAAAGAACTTATAGGTGTGACCCATGGACATGAACTAAGCTGGGGAGCGGGGGTGGATGCTGTTGAGAGGGAGGGTACAGAGTGGTGGAGGGGAATAAAGGGGAGAAAAAATGGGACAACCATAATAGCATAATCAATAAAATATACTTAAATAACCAAATTTATTACATACGTACATATGGGGGCTCCATAAGAACGTGGGACTCGGGACAAAGCAGGCGTGGAGGCATCTGCACTGTTGTGGACCAAGGGGAGGGAGGCAGGGGTCTGGGATCTCGAAGGGAAAGCAGGTGCTTCACAGGCAGGGGAGAAAGAGCAGACGTGTGAACAAATTGTTGCCGATACGCCCCAAACAGAGGGAGTCTCACAAACAAACGGGCTTCGTCTTCTCTGTTTTCCTGTCTGGGTTCCTTCAGGCAGGTAAGGGGAGGGCCAGAGTCTGCTTCTGAGTCTTTTGTTTCTTAACAATAACCAGCTTGCCCTAACTCGTGTGGCTCAGTGGGTTGGATGTCATCTCGTGGACCGAAAGGTCACTGGTTTGATTCCCAGTTGGGGCACAAGCCTGGGTTGTGGGCCTGGTCCCTGGTCGAAGGTGCTAGAGGCAACTGATCGATGTTTCTCTCCTTCTCTTTCTCCCTCCCTTTCCCTCTCTCTCTCTAAATAAATAAATAAATAAATAATATTTTTTAAAAAGGAAAGGCTTAAAAAAATAAAAAGGTAGAAATAACCAGCTTAAAAGAATCGATACCTCCAACAGGCGTGTTTTGGCTGGTCAATTCTGCTCCCCCTCGCCCGTCACAGCATGAAGTTCGTAACAGGGTCTTGCTGCTTATTCTGTGCCGGTCGCTGTCTCAGGCAGTCAGTAAGTAGGTCAGTGGTCATGTCTCTGCCCTCACTGAGTGCTTCTTAAATCACCAGCTGTCACCCATGATTCCGGGTCATTCATTCCTGCGAAGTCTTCCCCGAACCCTCCTGCTGTGGGCTTTCCTCCCCCCTGGCCCCTGTCTCCCACTGAGGGTCAGGTCCTTGCCAGAGTAGCCGCCAGGAGGGTGTGCACAGATGGCCTCTCGGCTCTTCTCCAAGGAGGAGGCGTGGCATGGACGCTAAGCACAGGGGTTAAGGAGCCCAGCACCTTGGGCTCGAACCCAGGCTCTGCTCTAGTTTTCCTGCCTGTAAGACGGACGCACAGCAGAAACCATTTCTCATGATTTTTGGCTGTTTGTTGATCCGTCTGTCCATGCCTGTGATGGTGTGCGGCCCCTAGTAAGTGCACGGTGCGCACAGCACAGCGCCGTCCTGCAGGCAGAGGCTGGATACAGAGGGAGAGGCTGGAGGGGTTGCTCTGTGGCTCTCTGGTCACCATGCCTGGGCCGGAGCAGATAGGGAAGTAATATCTCTAGACCACTGGCCACCTGGAGGGGAAAGAAGAGAGGACAGGGAATGAAAAGGGACACATTGTACTCTGCATCTTAAATCCAGCCTCACCGCCAAGGGCTCGCGTGGCCTCCATCTGCGGGTCCGGCTGCCCCGTCCAGTGAGTGCGTCACGGGGACTGTCAGTGGGTGTGGTCTTGTCCAGAGATCCCGTCCCCACTGCTCCGCACAGTGTTCTACTTACCTGTGCGGCGCACTGCCTGCTTTCCCCACTAGAGTGTGAGCCACGTGAGGGCGGAACTCCTTGTCTGCGTGTTCACTGTTCTGTTGCCTCGGCCTACAACAGCACTGAGCACTCAGTAGGTGTTCAACACTCAGTAGGTGTTCACAAATCCGTGTTGAGCAGGGAGTACGTGTGCCCCATGTAATGTCTGTCCACACACTCGAATGTGAGTACTTGTTCAAATAAGAAACGTGGTGTCCGCAGACCCCATAATCAGGCAGAGCAGTGAGGGATGGGTTGTAGGGGGTCCAGGGGGGCTGGCTGGGGTATGGGATCGTGTGTGCGGGTGGCCTGGTGGGGAAGGGGTGTGGGACGGTCCGGAATGGGGCGCGTGGTCAGGGTGGACCGCCCAGTGTGGTGCCCCCTGCTGGCTCCTCACCCTGGCTCCACCCACCTGGTCTTATCCATGTCCAGCCGTCGGGTGGTTTTGCTGGTCACCTCTTAGTCCACATCCCCATCTGCCCACGAGCCTACAGATAATCCCCACTGTCCACAGGACAAAGTTCACAGCCTCTACCCTGGTGTGCAGATCCTCCAGCCGTTTACCCCTGGATGCCTCCCCAGCATTACCTTCCGCTGGGACCCTGCATGAACTTGCTCTTGCTGCAAAACTAGTCTTCGCTTTATCAGAACACACCTTTCTCTTTCTTTCCCTGGGGGCCTCGCCCACAGCACATCTTCCCCACCCTCCCAGTCCGTCTTAACCTCTTTCCCCTTATGTAAGTCCTACCTGGTTTTCAAGATCCAATTCAGGTCTCACCTGCTTGGAGTGGGTGTTGGGAGAGGGGATGTTACACCCCTGACATTTTGGGGGTATGACTTCTTCCTAGACATGCACCACCTACAGCCACCCTCTAGCTCCTGGCACTGACTTTATTGTGGGGACAGGTATTGTCACATGCATGGAATATAGCACATACGACCAAGGTGACATCCTTTGTTTTCCCCACTAGCTTCAGGGAGGTGCCTCTTCAAGACTGCAGGGAGCACACTTGTGGGCGTGGGACTTCTGACGTCTGACGTATGCTCCATTGCAATCAAGTTCTGCCCCCAGTTCACCCCACTAACCAAGTGTTTGGCCTGCGCCCATGGCCACCTGGCCGTGTCGACCTTCCCACTTCCTTTGGTCTTGGGGCTGCCCTCGGGGGTGTGATTTCCCATGTGGGGGATCGGCCCACCTGTGCATCGGCCCATCCTCGCTCCCTTCTTTTCACGGAGCGTGGTCCAGAGCTCCTTCCCTGGCCCCCTCTCCTCTCAAGGCCATGGAGTCCCTGGCATCTGCACAGTGGCATTTCAGGACGACCTCACTTTGCTGTGTAGCCGACATTAGCCACTGTGAAGGGGGAGGCTCCCTTCTTTCTCCTGATGTCCTTTGTGCCTTTCCCTGGGACCCTTACCCAGGGGAGACCCACGATGTCAGTGGGGGTAGTGACCAGCTCCCAGGAGGTGACACCATGAAGCTATTCTCGTTTTCAACTCTCCGACCCCAGCTGACCAGATTCGTGGAGATCGTAGAGCGAGTGGGTAAAATGGAGTCCCCACTTTTTGTAAGCATTGCTCTGAGTGTTCACAAGCACAAGGTCAACTTTATTTAGGATCGTTGCCCCAATGAACTGGTCCTCACATCAGCCCTCAGTGCGGGCTGGTGCTGGCCTTTCTGTTTGGCCAGGGAGAGAGACAGCCCTGGGCCTCCCACGTGTCACCCTGCAGCCGGGTTGGCGACTTTTCCCAGGAAGAGCAGGCTGTGGGTGGCCACCTCCCACAGCAGCACCAGGAAAGGCCTGTTGAAATGGGCCTGTGGGGCCGATGTCCTGTTCAGAGCCTGCGGCCGGGACAGGAGGCCCGAGGCAGCCCCTGCCTTGGTTCCCCGCTCGCTCATGCCCATTGCTGCTTTGTGTGACACCTAGAAGGAGAAGAGAGGGCAGAGATGGCTCAGGACACTTCAGCAAGGGTCAGATTCCATGTTGTGCGGCGCCAAGGAGAGGGGCCAGCGTCTCCCCATTCAGGCTGCAAGGCCCCGCCTTCCAAGGAAGCGCCTCCAGCCTCGGTGTTATCTTTCTCCTCTCCCCATCCTTCCTCCTCTGTCCTGTTTGGGGGCCCACCCTGAAGGTACGTTTGCTCCATGATGGGAATGGGGCCCCGGGACAGGTGAGCTGCAGTGGGGCTGAGGGCTGCTGAGCTCCCACCAGGCTGCAGAAACTCAGCAGCAACCTTTAGGGATGTTTCTCAAGCCCTGGGTGCATGTGGCGCAGGCCCAATGCGCTTTCCACTGCGAGCTACACTCCCTCTCTCTAAGCCTCAGTCTTCTCCCTAGAATGTCGGGCTCAGCCTCCATCCACCTTTGAGATGAGCTCAGGGGACCACTGTCTGTGGTGCCCTCTAATCTCCGTAGCCATCACCCAGGCAGGTGGAGGTTCACTGCCTGTTCTAGGAAGAAGTGCAAGGAATAAAGACGAAGCTGGGCCCACACCTGGGGATGCGTGGCTTTGCAGATGACCCCAGAGAGTCGTCTGCTCTGTTCAGGACTCTGTCCTCACTCTGAAGAATACAGAGAGAAGGGGAAAGGGTGCTGCCCATGAAAAGGAGCCTTAATGACTATGGTACTGAAGACCCAGAATAGGACAAAGAGAGGGGGACTTGACTTTGAAATATGTACTTCATGTCAAAGGAGAAAGGACAGCTCCCACTCTCATACCTTGTCCACCAGCTTACCCTGGACATGGTTATGTTGGGCTGGCCAGCGACTCCTGATAAGTCAGCTTCTAGCTTGAATATGTCAGTGAGACCGATGTGGGAAAGGATTTCTTCCAGGTTGTACGTTCCAGAGATGGCAAACCTTGGCAGGTGCAAGTCGAGCAGGCTGGGGAGCCAGACAGAGAAGGGCCGCTGTCCCATTACCCACGCTCCTGCCATTGGCGCTGGTGGCGTGAGCTTCTATGGAAGAGGGGTTCCCCAGAGTGAGGGGAACCTGTCTTCCCATGACACTGCCTGCTCTGCCAGAATATTCCACAGCCCGAACATTCTGAAACCCCTTGTGTCCAGACTTTACAGACCTCTCATGACCCCTTTAGAGACCCCTTCCAATTTCTTGTGTCTGGAACTGAGAAGACCCCTGGCCAGCCATTCTGTCTTCATCTTGGGCACATCAAGGGAGGGTTTCTAGATGCCCAGCCCTGGGCTAGGGATTTTACAGAGTGTCCCTGACTGAATACATGTGGCACCACATGGGGTAAATATTGCTACCGTTGTCCTACCTCCACGTCAGACTCATTGGCAAGTTCATTGGCCTAGCTACTAGCTCTGTCCTAAATCCATCCACTGGCCACCCCTCATATGAGCTACTACCATCTCTTACCTGTCCGAGCCTCGGGGAGCTGACGAGAGACGGGGCACGAACGGCTAGAATAACCCTCTCCTGGTCCCGGTGTGCCTTGACCATCAGAGCACCCATTTCCTGGGTTCAATTCACAAGTTTCTTCTGACACAGAGCAAATCTGTCTTTTTCTTGTGGGGATTGTTCTTTTTACTTATTGTTTGACAGTTAGTAGGACATCTGGAAGCTTGGCTAGTTAATAACCAGCGGGGAAACTTCTGCCTCTAAGGAATTCAGCTTAGAGACCTCAGTTCAGGTTAGAGAATCATTCTCGGTTTAACCCCTGGGAGCGGTATGAGGGCCTAGATGCCTAAGCGCAGTGGGGGTCATTTAAAGTGGGGGTCGAACTGTGAAGAGGAGGAAACGGAGGTGGAGAACTGGCAGCCCTTGGAGGGCAGGCCCCGCCCTGGAGGGGCTGTGGAGCAGAGTCTAGCAGAAGGGGATCGGTGGGCAGCCCAACACAGTAGGTGTCCGACGAGTGCGAGCGGAGAATGGACGTCTACCAGGAAGCGTGACCTCCCCAGGCTGACCTTCCTCACAGCGGAATGGAGGGAGGGAGACCTGGGGGTCTGAGCTTTTCATGTCTGAAGTCCCATTAAAACACTGCTATTATATTAAAATTCTGGCATGAGAAACATCTGAGGTTTAGAAAAGTAACTTGGGTTGGTTTCGATTCTTGAAAGTAAGAGGTCAAAACAGACCCTTCCTGGAGGAAAATGTATTGGTCTAGAAGGTTCTATAATACTTCCTCATGAGAGGTGGGAGGGGCAGGCTCACCCCAAGGAAGCCTGAGACCACAGGGTTCGAATCAGAAATTGACCAGAGCTATGTAGATTCACAGGCAACAGGGAAACTTCCTTAGATCCTGGTCTCCGATCTTGACCTGTGTCTCTTATGTAGCACTTGAATCTCTCTGCCCGAACACAAACACATGTTAGCAGTGACCATCAGAGTTTGCTTTGCCCTCCTCTTCTCAAATTTGGGTGGGTTCTGTGACTGCCCTGACCAAAGGGACATGGCCAAAGGGATATTTGCAAGCCGAGGCCATGAGAGAGCAGCGGTTTTCACCTCCTGTCCTTTGGACCAGTCCTGGGAGCCCTGCGCTGCCGTGTGACTGTATGAGCGATGCTGAGTCACTGTGTGGAAGAATATGGGCTCCGTGGAGACACTGCGTGGAGACAGATGCCTGCTCAGGCCTCAGCTGTGGCTGCCACCAGCCCAGGCATCAGACATCAAGTGGGGGGGACTTCATGCCCCTGCCCAGCCATCACCTGACTCGGGCACAGGGGAGACCCCGCCCCATCAGAACTGCCCAGCTAGGCTGGTCTGCTCACCGAATCAAGAGAGGGAACAGATGCTGTGGCCAAGCTATTCTGTTCTGGGGGTTTGTTATGCAGCAAGAGGTCATTAGAACTCAAGGCCCGATTTCATCCTGGGACGCCCCATAAAGGAAGATACACCCCCAAGAAGGAGCTGGCTTATGAAAGGGGATCTAGGCAAAGTGGAATATACTGAAACCATGAGAGAAAACCACAGACTGAAAGCAGGTGAGAGAAAGAAAGGTTAGGACTGCGATCCCATCAGATGGGAGCTTTGATTCCACAGTGCCGTTCTTTTTAATTGCTTCAAGAAATGTTTTAATTGAAAAAAAGGTGCACTTTTAGCCCTGGCTGGTGTGGCTCAGTGGATTGAATGCTGGTCTGTGAATCAGAGGGTTGCCGGTTTGATTCCCAGTCAGGGCACATGCCTGGGTCCCTGGGAGGGGGAGCCCTAGAGGCAACCACATATAGATGTTTCTCTCCCACTCTTTCTTGCTCCCTTCCCCTCTCTAAAAAATTAAGTAAATAAATAAAATCTTAAAAAAAGAAAAAAAGATGTGATTTTGGAAATACACACTGGTTTGTGGGAGTCGTGATTATTCTTAATAACTGCCCTTGACCTGATTTTCTGGCCACACTTAACTGCCTTCTGGGGGTACATTACGGTGTGGACAAAGGGAGCAGCCAGAGGAAAGGAGGCTGGGCAGAAGATGCCGAGAGGGCCATGGTGATTTCTTCCTTCTCACACAGGTAGCCCTGCCCACGCTCCATGTACATTCACTCGACCAGTCCCCCAAATGGCCCAATGTGGCAGTCGTCACAACCTCCGTTTACAGTGGAGGGAGGAAATCTAAGGCCCAAAGGTACAAAAGTGGCCCAAGATCATAGCTGGTCAGCCTAACCGAGGGGTTGGACTCTTGCAATTGGAGTGGATTAAGAACTGCTGGGGTTCTTGAACGAGGCTGGCCAGAGTCCTCCTGCCTTGCCCCTTACCTGGGCCGGAGCAGCTGGCCCCATTTTCTCAGGGTCTTGGGCTGCAGCGTGGCCTCCACCTGCTCCATCTTCCCCGGGTCAGGGAGGACCAGCAGGGCCAGCGCGTTCCCGCTGTACTCTATCTGGAGGACGGTGCAGGCCATCTCCGGGTCGTACAGGAACCTGTGCATTTCCTTCTGGTGCATCAGGGGGGTGCGGAGAGGGGTCCTCTCGTTCACAAAGAAGCTCTTTTGCTTCGGGGTCTGGTAGCGATGGAAAGGATGCTTCCACTTGGCTGAGGACACAAAGCCCAGACGACCATGAGAACACACTCCAAGAGAGCAACTCCGGGCTGACGCACTCCGAGCCACACTGCTTTGGTGACTTCCTCTGGGGTCTGTAAGTCTGAGGCGCAGAAGCAGCACAGACACAGAATCGGAGGCCAGATTTAGGTTCGGTTCAGCCACCGGAGCAAGTCCCCAGAACCTGGGCTCTAATGGCCTATGATTTTATTCCAGGTCAGAGCAACTTAGCCTTCAAGGGCTGCAAAGGTAGTATTTCCATCTAATCTACTAAGCACCTTCTATGTACAAGGCATTATCTCTTTATACCTCCATCAAAATTAGTAGTAAACAAGCGTCACACCCTCCATGTCTGAGACGAGAAGTTGAGTCCCTGTGAGTTTCTGCAAACACTCTCCTCTCACAGAGCCTTTCTCGGCAGAGCGGGGATGACCTGACTCGGGCTCCACCCTCAGGTCTTTGCAGACACTGAGTCGGCCCGTCTCTGCCCAGCTGCCTCTGCAGAGCAGTGACCTTCAACGCAGAGTTGGAGGGCTACTCTCTACCTCCCAACTACCCAATATTCAAACTAGAAAAAAAGAAAGATTTTAGTTAATAAAATGTAATGTATAATGCAAAAGCCCACTGAGGCCTAGTTAGGAATGCAGGGTTTGGTGGCCACAGTCTTGTTCATTGGTGTGGTATCTTTACTCTACTTAGTCTCCAGCCACAGCCCGTCCTGACTTGGCCTCTTGAAAGCACTGGTCTTGGTGGTGGGGGAGGGGCCTGTCTGAGCCTGTGCCTCCTGCCCACACCCAGCCTGTGACAGAGCCCTGCGGATTCTGTCTCCAGAGCCGCCTAGCTTGTCCCTGCTCTCCAGCCCTTACTCCCTGCAAACCACCTTCCAAACTGTAGCCGGCCTGATCTTTCTGAAAGCAGAGGTCATCATGCGACTGCCCTGCTTCCAGCTGTTCCGTAGTCCTGGGGTCGCACAGGTACAGTCTCGGGTTCTCCACTTTATGGTTGCAGCTCCCGGCACTTCTGTTCCGTTCCCTGAGAGTTCGGGGAGTGTCTCCAGCGTCGGCTTTGACACCTGCCGTCGTTCCCGCCTGACCACCTCCCCCCTGCCCCTCCCACAGCTGTGCTGCCTCATTCCCCAGGTCCAGCTTAGACTCCTGCTCCTCGGGGAGCTGTCCACCTCCCGCCCCACCCAGGTCTGGGTCAGTGTCTCTGGAAGAGCTCCTTGGCACCGTCCCTTCTCAAAGCGGAGTGTCGCTTCCCTGCGGAACTGTAGTGGCCTTTCCACTGAGTCAGCACAGTGGGGCTGTGAGCTGCTCAGGGCGGAAAACAGTGGGTGACTCATGAACCCCCCCGAAGCCCTCCCACCCCAGCCTCAATCACAGGGCAACATCAGACAAGTCCCAGCTGAGGGGTCTTCTACAGACTACTGGCCAGCACTCCTCCCAGGGGTCAAGGTCATTAAGAGCAAGGAAAGTCTGAGACACTGTCCCAGCCAAAGGAGCCTAAATTGACCTGACAGCTACATGTGATGTAGATCCTAGATGGGACCTGAAATAGGAAAAAAGATAAAAACTAAACAAAAAAACCTGAATGAAGTATGAACTTCAATATAATTCAGGAAATGACCAAAGTGAATAAAATGGACCCTAAAGTGTGACATGTTCAATGCAACAGTCAAAGCAACCGGTCCGCATAAATTGAGCTGCGGTGAGGACCCTGAGACATCAATGCCGACAGTAACATGGTGTGACTGTGCTCATGCAGAATTTCACAACACACCGAGTGTGCATGATTCCGCATGCACACTTACTGGGCTAACGGCGGGCGCGCCCAGATGACTAGGAGGTGCACTGGCCCGTGGACAGAGCGTGACTCTGGGGAGGGGTGGAAGCAAGGAAAGGGGACCCGGGGGGCATTAAAAAGAAATTGAATTTGGGTATGGTGGTTTTATATTATTCTTTGTATATTTCTGTCTGTTTGAAATAGATAGCAATGTAAAAAATGAAGTATTTTTCTAAAATTGAACTATTAATACAGAAGTGAGAGTGAGTATTAAAACCAAATATTGATCAGTCACAAGGCCGTGGTATAAGGACATTATTTAACTATCAAGGGGTGACTGCCCCAGGAAACAGCTGTGAGACTGAAGACAGGGCCTTTCTGGGGCAGGGCTGAGGGCGAGAGAGGGGACGGTGACTTCGCCCGGGCTGCACGCACCTTTGAAGAAGATGTAGTTCAGGAGAACCACCAGCGTGTCTTCGCTGAGCCCCTGGAGGCCGTCGGCCACCTGGCCGTAGGTTTGCTTTCTCACATAGTCGTTGATGTGCCTCCTGGCCGCCGCAGAATCCGTGAAGTCGGTGGAAAAAGCCAGAGCTCCGTACTGCTCCCTGACCTCGTCCAAAAAGTGCTGCTGAGGTTTCAGCTGCTTGTCCAGGAACAGGGAATTGCCCACCTTCAGTTCCAGTTTGGGACTGGGCAGGTCAAGGGTGCGGAGGAGGCTCTGGAAGCCCTGGTGGATGCTGGCCTGCGGAGTCTCCGTGAGGTTGAAGCCCAGGCCTTCCAGGATCCGAGCCGAAGTGTCAGCGGGGACCCCGAGGGAGAGCAGGGCCAGGGTGGTGGAGATGCTCACCGGGGAGAAGACGACGTTTCCCGGGGCTCCTGCTGCCAGCTGCCTATACAAGCGCAGAGCGAAGCTGGTGATGGTGGGTGTGACTCGGTGGTAGGCGGGTGCTGGCTCTGGGAGTGGGCCGCTGAGGGCTTGGGGCGTCCCTGGACTTGTATCTCCCTGGGCAGAGGCCAGGATCCCTGCTCCCAGCAGCCACAGCCACGCTGGTCCCATCCTCTGAAAAGATGTTGAACATCACTCTAAATGACAGTGCGGCTCCCCACTGCTTACATAACAAACCTCACATGCAGACTGTCTCCCACGGGTGTCACCAGGGGCCCTGCAGAGGGTGCATGGGGGTGAGCAGGCCAGAATCAGGCTCATCCCCCAGGGCTTCAGGCCGAGCGGCGGCCCTGTATCTGCTTATACATCGCTGGGTCTATATGGTGCTGCTGGGAAAAGGCCTCTGGGCTATGGAAACAGCTTCCGTGGCTGGTTTTCCTGCATCCCTCCTGCCCTCCCTTCCTCCCTGTCCTTTATCTTTCTTCTTTCCAGTCATTCTGTCAGTCACACATTAAGTTTCAAGAATTGGGATGACCTGAGAAACTCCAGAGCGTGCATTCGGGGCCCTGTGGCGGTGAGCGTGGCCGGGCCTCCTGTGTACCTCGGTGTGGCCACTAACTACGACCTCGCGGGTTGGAGGGGAGAGGGTGACGTGTGTGGCTCGGGGGGCAGACCCTCAGGGGGGGAGGCCCGACCTCTGCATTCAGGTCTCCCAAAGCCAGGGTGTGGCCCTGATGGTCAGTCCCCGGGACCCTGTGGGGTGAGGGTGACCCCTAAGAGTTGGCACAGCCAGAGATGGATGGGACCTAGGGGTGGGGCCCAGCGGTCAACTCTGCTTCCTTGGGACTTGTCATCGCCAGCTCTTGTCACATGCACTGGTTTAAACTGCATTGTAACTAGAGTAGACAGTTGGGAAAGATTTCTATTAGGGGTCAAGTTGTGCCTCTCCCACCCCAGGTTCATACACCAAAGTCCTAGTCCCATTTATCTCAGAGTGTGATCTCGTTTGGAAATGGGGTGACTAAGGATGGAATTAGTTAAGTTGAGGTCATTAGATGGGCCCTGATCTGATAGGACCAGCGTCCTTATAAAAAGGGGACAGTGGACAGAGACACGCACTCAGGAGAACACCATGTGAGAGGGAGGCAGACATCTAGGAGCCACAGAAGCCAAAGATCCCAGCGAACGGCCAGCTCGGGCAGCGGCCTGGACCAGGTTCTCCCTCCCCCTCAGAAGGGACAGCCCTGCCGATGTCTTGACCCTGGACTTCCAGCCTCCAGGACTAGGAGACAACAGACTTCTGTTGTTGAAGCCATTTGGTTTGTGGCACAATGTCATGGTGGCCCTAGCAAACTGACAGTGTCTCTTGTGCTCTGAGTCATGCATGCGCCGGGAGAGCCTTTGCTCTGCCCTGAGGGGGTCCGAGGGGTGCAGAGCAGGACACCCCTTGCTTTGGGCCAGGACACAGCTCAGCTCAAGGTAAAGCCGCAGCGCAGACAAAGACCTGTCTCTGTTTGCCCCGCCCCTCTCTGGCGCCCCTTTCCCTCTCAGGGTCCCCACACAGCCCCCCCATCCCCCCGTGCTCAGAGGGCACACGCTGCCTCTCGCACGCCTACACCGCGATGTCCCCAGTAAGGAGAGTATGGTCCCCTGCTCCCTTCAGGAATGACAGCCCCTCTGTCCCATCCCGCAGTGGCTGTTCACTGCTGACCACCCACCGGGTTCGCCTGTCCTGATAACGTTTGTGTCCTAATCAGCACCCTTTGCTCAGACCAGCAGCCTCTGGACCAGTCACAAACAGCACGAAAGAGAGGGACAGACCGTGTCTCTGCAGGAGCCCGGGGCTCTGAGTCCGCCACCAGGCCCTGAAGGCCGGCTGTTAGGAGGGTCACTGAAACCTCACTCTCAGTTATGTTGAAACTCATTTTCTGGTCAAAGTACCGCAGGTGTTTTCCCGAGGCCACGTCCCGCCGGCCTCGACACGGTTTGCTGTGGGCTCGCTCAGCGACCTTTCTGTTCACCTTGGACTTTCTTTGGAGGGGGGATTGGGAAGAGGTAGAGCAGTTTAAAAACTGGTCTGCCTCTGGGGAGCATAAGACATATGACTAGGACAGAACTACTTCCAGTTTACTACTTTTGGGCCATTGAGCTCCCCACCATTCTCTGACTACTGTGCACCGAGTGCTCCCAGGCTTGCTGGAGGACCCTGTCCAAAGAGGGCTGACCTGTGAGCAGGGGGCTGGGGCTTGAAGCAAGGCTCTGCCTCCACCAGCTGCCCTGCCCCCATTTCAAAATGCAATGATGATGCCTGCTCTGGGCAGGAGGATTACAAACCCTGCAATGTGTGGGCCCCCCCCCGCCCTCTGCACAGGGAGCATTGCAGTGCCAGTGCTCCCCCCTTTCTCCCGAGGCTGGGTGGGATTCTATCCCATTTCTTTATTCCTCTTCTGCAAAGATCCCAGAGGGAAATTAAGAACTCCGTTAATGGCTGTAATGTTCCCATTCATTGTATATTTTGTGGTGGGGGTATTAGGTCTGTCTTATCGCTGGCCCGCAGCCAGAGATACTCTAACTTGCAGGGGGAGATGGGAGAAGGACGTGCTCTTGGAGTTGAGCGGCAGAGAGAAAGCTCTGGAAGTGCCGAACAGACTTAGGTGATGAAAATGGTCCTGCCCACGTGCCACCTGTTGAGAAAGACTCGCTCCATGTCATTTAGCTAAATCCTTATGAGAAACCTTAAGACAAGGCCTGATGGTCCCCTCGTACATTCGGAGGAACCGTTCAGAGGCGGGAGCACGATCCAAGTCCAGACCGGGGCTCCGATGGACCTTTCCGTGTGGCGGAGGTTCTAGCGGGTTTGCTACAGTGTTGTCCTTTTGCTTTGGGTTGTGTTGTTCTGTTTTCTTGTCTACTGCCAGGAATACTGGAAGTTTCTCTCCCCCAATTTTTGAACACAAAGTTTCTTTTGTACAAGGTTAGGTACAACCCCAAGTTCCTACTGCTAGCCCTGGAAGCGGTGCATCATGTCATTTTTCCTGTAGGGGACCCGGTTCTCCCATCCCTGCTGCCCAAGCCAGAGAGGGGAGGAGGAGAGAGGAGGGGGAGAGAGGGGTGGAGAGAGAGAGCGCGTGGCAGGCAGCTGCCATGCCTGCCTTTGTCCTGGCGTACGTGGGTACTTACCACGAGGATCCTGGGCTCGGGCCACGGTCTTCAGCACCCCATCACCTCCGACCCATAGGAGAACGATGTTGAAGACCGCAGCAGCCCAGTCAATATTTGTCAGGTCAATTCCGGGAATGGTCTGCAGACGACGCACAGCAAACAGGAAGGGACCTGTTTTTTTTTAGTGCCTGCCCCGCCTGCCTGCCCTGCACTCGGTGAGCTGTGACTCTGCCCCCAGCCAGGTTTGAACAGCTCCTGACTCAGTGCTGAGGGCAGGGGTCGTGGCGTGGCTGCTGTCCATCCTTGGGTGCTTCGTGTATTGCTGGCAGCCTTCCTGAAGGACCCCCTGGCGATAGCAGTGTGAGATGTGAACCGGCCCTGCTGCGGCCACCGTCACAGAGCAGGAATCGCCCGCACCACTGTGCTGTGCGCCTTTGACTTCTGCAGCGATGCGTGTTGATCGCTTCTCAGTAAAACGGGGAAAAAAGAATGTGAGAAAGGCACAGTCGTTCCCACTTTACAGATGGGAAATGGAGGCTCTGCCAAGTTAAGTAACTTCCTCGCGGCCCTGGGGCTGGGCGGTGTGGGGGGTGGTGAGGCCACATCCCCCGCCAGAGCCCTTCCCTCCACACCATTTAGTACGTTCCTATTACTTCCAACAAGCCATGGTCCATGTGCAGAAAGCAGACGGGAAGAAATTCAAAAAATAGAGCGAAACCTTCCCCCTGGCCACACTGAAAGCCCCATAAAGTGGGTCGTTGACTCTTGATCATCCACGTATCTGTCGCCCAAGGTGGCTGTGAATGCGGCCCAACACAGAACTGTAAATGACTTGAACACCATGAGATGTCTTTGTGACCTCGTGTCATGGTGTATTTAGCGTGTGGCCCAGAACAACCCTTCTCCCGTGCGGCCCAGACGCCGGAGCTGGGACGCCCCCCGATCTAGAGCAGTGGTGGAGCTAAATGGGTATTTTTTATGAGTGAATCTTTAGGTGGTGGAATCGAGGTGACTTTTATGTTCTTCTCTGTAGATTTCCGTATTCCCCTAATTTCTCACGTATCTAATTTTTCTTAACAGTGTTTTGTTTTTCATTATAAATAAGAAACATGTTTAAAGAAACCACGTATCTTATTTATAATGAAAAACAAAACACTGTTAAGAAAAATGACTAATCAGATCCATAAAGCAAAAGAGACAGCGGCCCCAATCGCAAGGCACTTGTAAATCATAAGGGTTGGCAGAGACTGAGTCTGATTCTAGGAGGGGGCTGGATGGGCCCTGGCAGGTTGGGAGCCGTGGATGCTCCAGGTGGGACTCAGACAGTGTGTGCTGGAGAGGTGAAGGTCAAGGACATTCGGGCTAGCCACCAGTGGGGTCTGCTGCACCGACCAACGTTGGAGACCCTACCCCTGGGTCCAAAATGATGAGAACCTCCTGGGTGCTCTGTAAAGACCCTCGTAGTGTGAATACACAGGAGAATTGAAGTCTGGGGCCAGAGTGTCTGTCTCACCTGAGAGGAAGCATTTGTTCTGGGCCAGCACACACATTACCTGGTCCTTTGCAGTAACTCTGTGCAGGGTCGGGGAGGAAGCAACTGCTCTGGGGACCCCCATTTCGGATTCTATTCCAGACCCTGCTACAATCGAGCCTACCTGGCGGAGCTGTGGTGGGAACTAAACATGATTGCACGTGGGCAGTGGCTCGCCCAGGGCAAGCAGAGAGAGGACAGGGAGACAGACATTTATGCAACTGGTTTTCTCATATCATGACAGATGACCATCAGGAAGAGCAGGTGTTGCAGGTCACGTGCCGCGGCCACTGGGCTCGTAGAACTCCCTCTGGGTGCGGGAGGTCGGCCTTTGTTCTATGAAGACCTCAACTGGTTGGATGAGGCCCACCTACTCTATGGAGGACAGTCTACTTTACCTACCAATTTAAATGTTAATCTCTTCCAAAAGCACCCTCACAGAAAGATCCAGAATAATATTTGGCCACACAGGTGGGCACCACGGCCCAGCCAAATTGACACATAAGATTATGTCATCGGTGGCAGGAGAGAGGGTGGAGCACCGCTTCTTTGGGGGTGCTGGGCTCCCTTCGTAGCGTGGACATCTTTGACCTTGGTTCACAGACTCCTTGCCTTTGCATCCAGTGCAGTGTCGGAAGGCGTAAAAAGGCACTGTTATTGTGAGTGTTTACTCATCCTACCTTCTACTTCACTGCCAGAGCCAGGAGAGGTTGGCCCTGGCCCTCCGCGAAGGCTCCAAGTGGCCCAGCTCACCGTGGCTACTTGGGCAGGTGGCCTTTGCTGAGCACCGTGGTCCTGCTGGTCACGGGACACGGCCCACCTCCCTGCAGCAGGCAGGACACTAGGCCCCAACATCCTCTGTGGACACCTTTCAGCACATGGGACATTAGGACAGAATACCAGCCAGAAGTACCTTTTAGCTGGAGGGACACCGGGGCCTGGTCACCCTCTCCGAACCCCTTCCACTCCACGGGACTCACGGCCTGGGCCCCCCTGAGCGCACCTTCCCTCCTGCTGTCGCCTGGCGCTGCCAGGATGTGCCGAGCACACACACACACTCTCCAGGCCTTCCTCCACCCAGCTGTGCGGCTACACCACTTCCTCCACGTTTCCAGAACAACCCCTCTCATCCTTCTCTGAGCTTAGCTCCCCTGCAGCTGCCCCTGCGGCGTCCCTGGCTTGTCCTCCCTGGAGCCCACCCTGTAAGCGCTGATACAAATAGCTAACTTTCCTTGGGCACTTGCCCCCAGGGCGTCCTAGGTGGTCTATGACGTACTTAAAATACTTCCCCAGACAGGACGGACTTGTTCATACCTACATCACGGGGCCAGTTAGTAAACAACTGTGGACGCTGAAGCAGGAGACACTGCAGGGGTTTGTTAGCATCAGAAAAAAAGGTCCAGGGAGCCCAGATGCAGACCTGGCTGCTAGGGGCTCCAGAGTTCCAGCTGGCTGGAGTCAAACGAGGCCGACCTGGAACTCTAGATGGGGAATCAGAACGGACAAGCCCGAGGGGCGATTGTAAATGGTTTTCCAGGGATGAAGTGATTGGTGTGTGAGAAGGGTGGGTTGGACAGACACATCGTACGGGCAGCTCCGTCCCCGTGTGGGGAGTGCGTGCGTGGTGCGCTGGACTCCGCGCTCTGAACCTGTTCGTTCTTCATTTGTTTATTGGTTTAGATGCTCTTTGCAGGTTTTGCCACCAGCTCTAATCAGACAGCTGAAGCTGCCTTCAGAATATTGTCACTTCTGTTGTGAGTGAAATGGTCACGCAGCTCTGTGATAATCATTCTTGATACTGTGTGATTGAAGATTTGGCGTCTTGAAATCATGGGTCAAACTAACGACAAAACTGTTTACATCTACACCGTCGGTATATTTTCACAGGACTGTGAAAATCCCATTGCAGACGCTCCCACCACAGGCTTCAACCTCGGTTGCGTCCTGCCCCAGAGGGGCCCTGCCCGCCTGCGTTCTTTCCACCACTTGGTAGTAAAGGCTCCTGCCCACATCTTCCCTCGGCCCGCCCGCCCCTGGCCAGCCACGGTGCTTCCTCGTGTGGCCTTGCGTGGGTGACACGCTCTCCTCCTGGGAACCGTGAGGAGTGAGTGCGGATCTTTCAGGGGCAGTTGTTGTCTCTCTGTGCCTGGCGTCTTACCAGACCTGACCGACTCACACCCCGGGCCCGCTGCAACACCAACGCCCAGGAGAGGCGCCTGTGGAAGGAAGGGACAGGCGGACCTCGCCGAGAACAGTTTATGGTGCTTTTGTGCCCGAGGCCGGTACCAGTCTGAATGGGCCCGGGAGGCCACTCAGGCTGTCGGGCACTGCGACGCCCCCTGGGAGTGACGCACCCCTGACTCCTGGGGACTCCCGATGGCTGCCAGGAGAAACGAAGTGTTGTGACTGGCGGGACTGGCTTTAGCCAGTTCTTCACCCCTGCCATCTCCTTCATGTCACCGTGGGCCACTCTTCTCTGAGGCACGTGCCCCGGTCCGGGAGCCGGGTCTTACCCAGGGTGCTCCTGGGGGAAAGGAGGGCTGGTTTCTGCACACGGGTGTTTTTCCACTACCGAACACAGAGATGAATTTATTCACTCATTTTTATTTTTTAATTATGGGCATACAATAGTTTCAGGTGCACAACATTTATTTGCAATTAGACAATTATATACCTTGCAAAGCGATCCCCCCAATAAGTCTAGTGCCTGCGTGGCACTGCACAGAGTTGTCACCCTAGTGCTGCCTGTGTCCCCTCTGCTGTGCAGCACATCCTCATGGTTAGTCACTTAACAACCGGCAGGTTGTGTTCTTAACTCTCCTTGCCTTTTGGCCCATCCCCCACTGCCTTCCCATCTGGTGACCATGAGGGATGAAAATCATAAAAATCATAAAAATCGTATGATTCTGTCTACAGAGACACTGTGACCTGCATTTTGAGCCTGAAGGCAGAGCCCTGGACACAGAGTGAGGTGACCCAGGTGACATCACAGCCTCCACGTCTGGGCCCCACCCAGCTCTCACTCTGCCCTGGGTGAGATGTTCTCACCCCTCGAGTCTCTGGTCTCCTGTTGGTGGGTGAGGTGGGAGTGTGGGGACCCCCCTGCGGCTTCTCCAGCTCTCTAGCATAACTCCCTTCTCTCTTCTTCCTCTGTGTGTAAAAGAGCTCGGGAAACCCAACGTGAGGCGCCCGTCCCCCCAGGAAAGGGGTCTCTGGACCTGGTGGTTGTGGGAGCTCCGCTGGAGGCTGTAGGAGTCACCCTTGATAATGAATGGTGATGTGGGAGGAGCTAAGGTGGCCCGTTCAGAGGGGGGCAGAGCAGGGAGGGTCGCACGGGAGCCTTTGCTTGGAACCCTGTGGTCCACTGCCTCACACACGGCTTGAGGAAGTCAGACTGAGGGGGCCGGGCCGTGTCCGCTGCAAAGCCGCAGGGCGGAGGCTGCTCACCCAGGGGCCGTGAGGGCACGTGACAGTGTCAGAGTCCAGAAGGCAGCTGGCCTTGCTGATCTGGACGGAAAACCGATGCCTGTGCCCAGAAAGGCCTTTACCACCCATGCATTTGAGGGACTCTGCGGGTCCAGTCGCCAGTAAAGGCGGGTCATTCTGCAGTAAAGGTGACTGGCCTATATGCAACCACTCCTGGGCACTAAGGAATGGAAATGCATAGACCCAGAAACGCCCTGTGAAGCTGGTGACCTGGGAGGTTTGTGGGAAAGAGCACGTGGCCTGGGGCTCAGGGGCTTCGGTTCATGACCTGCATCTCTGCTGCCTTCTGGAGACTGAGCCTCAGAAGTGGTGTCTGGGCAGCAAATGCAGCTCTGCTGGGGGCAGGGGGCCTGGGAACAGGAGGGGCACGCGGTTCATTTCCTGTGCGTTGTTAACGTCTCGTCTGTCCACAGGCCTGGGCCCGCCTAGAACTTAGTGGGATTCTCCACTTTCCCCAGAAAGAGCACTGTCCCTGTGGCTTTGCTGACAATCAGCAGCAGGAAGGACCTATTGAAGCAGATGGAGTGAGAGGCGCCATCCTCGGACCGGACCGTGAGCTTGGTGGCAGTGGCCGCCGCGGCCTCGGTGCCCTCCTCCCGGACGTCCAGCACAGCCTTGTGGGCAGCCTGCCAAGGCAAGAGCAACATCAACACTTTTCAGAAACTGAGAGTCAGTGCTGGCCTGGGAATGGGGATACCCGGCCCCCACCCCAATCGGCTTCAAGGTTCCACGACGTGCCTGGCGTGAGGTTTGTTCAGTTGCAGCTCTGGTGGTGGCTCCTGGCCAGCTGGCCCTTGAGCATGGAGTTGAATGGTTACACATACAGCCCAGAGAAACCTAGGTTTGAGTCCCAGCTTTGCCGCTTATTATCGTAAAAGATATTTAGATGCCTCGTGCTTCACTTTCCAAACCCAGAAAAGGCTGGTAATAATTGCACGTATCCCACAGGGTTATTTGATGAATTAAAGGAGATCATACGAAGTGTGGATGCCAGAGTCAGCGCCACAGCCGTTGCACAGGAGACACGGGGTGGGCGTTACCGAATATTGAGTCCTTACTCGTTCTTCTACAAGAGATATTCTTCACCTGGGGTTCATGTGCTACAAAGCTTCAGGCACCTGGGACCCCTGGACAATTATGGCCATTCTTTTCCGCATGAGCGCATAGTGGAGAAAGACCCAGAAGGCTCATCGTCTGCCTGTGGGGTCTCTCTGCATCCTTCCCTGACACCAGTGACCAAGGTCCCCTTCAGTGGCCCAGAACCACCCCTGACCATTATAATCTGTTATCACAATAAATTTTAGGTCAGGGATCAGGAACCCATATGCAGACACGAGTAAGACAGGTAACCCCAATGGGACAAGAAGACCTCTTGTAAGGGGGTGGGGTCTGCAGGGAGCCCCAAGGCTACCTTCTGCCTTAAAGGGTAGCTCACAGCCCGGCCCCAGTCGATGGCCACTGTGCAGAGGCTCGGACTCACGGTGTGGGAATTGGGTCAACGAGTTGTTTCAAGAGAATCAGAAATCTAAATTTTTAGGTCCAATATCCTGCATTTGAGAAGTCAGCTCTCTCTTTTCCTGTTTTTCTTTTTCTTTTTCTTTTCTTTTTTTTTTTTTTGACTAATGTCCCATGAGCAGCCACGTTATGACCTCACTGTGAGGACCTGGGCTCCAGGGAGGCGAGGTCGGGGCCTGGCGTGCCCCTGCCTGGTTCTCCTAGAACTGCGGTTGAACCTCAGGAACACTCGTCGGACGAGGGAGAAAGGGTGCCCTTGCCTCAGGGGTACAGTGGCCACAGAGCATCAGGCCTGGCGGCTGTGCAGTTATTCAGCCCCATTTCTGCCTCAGAGACGGCACTTCACCTGCCGGGGACTCTGTTTCCTTGTCAGCGAGACAAGAGCGCTCAGTTAGTCAGTCTCCACAGGCCCTTCCAACTCGGCTCTCGTGCAAATATTCTCAGCGATCAACTCACTTTGGAAACTTGAAGAAAGTCTCTCTTTGTGATTCCAGAAAAATCAGCATTTTTGCCAAAAGCATCCCGGATGCCCATCTTCGGGAGAATGTTTTCCAGGTCATAGGAGGTAGAAATGGAAAATTTTGGAATGAACACCTCTATCCACCTGTGGAGAAGGGGAAAGGAAGGGGTGAGGTCACAGGCCCTGGGCCCCCATCTCTGTTTCTAGCTGGCATTTCAGCAGACTCTTCTCCCATTGGGTGCTGCTTAAGGGGCAACACCTTCCAGGCAACCAGCCCAGCTTGCTCTGGAAGTAAGCCCACTGGGTGAGCAAGTTCAGCCCTGAAGATGTAAGAGATGAAAAACAGGCCCCCTCCTGAAGTAGGGGACAGAGCAGAGAAGGGGGCTCAGGAGGGGGGCCGATGGCAGAGACCGCTGGGATGCGCTGGATGGTGACAGAAGCGAGTCTACCGCCCCTGGACCAGAGCGCCACTCACCAGCCCTTCTCGAGACAAACCCTGCTAATCTCTGAGGGAGCAAAGTCCACACGTGGCTGCCAAGCAACTTAAATGTGGCTGGTGCCAACAAGAAACTACACTTTAAATTTAATTTAATTTTAATTTAAATAACCATATGTGGCTGGTGGCCGTCATGCTAGACAGCACAGCCCTGGAGTTTGGCACACTTTTTCCTCCTCCGTGGTGGTTTCTCTGAACCGGGAGTGAACAGCCCACACTCACTGAGCACTTGCTCCGGGCCAGGCTTTGTCTCGGGCACATTCCTGAACGCTGTCTCCATTTTAGTGAAGGGAAAGCTTAGTGTGAGCACTTTGCTCAAGGTCACGTACTTAACGAGTCACAGAAATACAAGCACAAAAGTGTTGGACGGACACTTCATCGATGGACTTCTGTGACATCCGGCACAAGGACAGCTCTCTCTTCCCTGCATTGTGCTGGCCTGGCCATCTTCACCTTCTCTTGGCTGGGTCTCTGTACAGATGCCCTGCCCCCACCTGCAGCCTCTGCCTCTCTCGAGCCTGGTTGCAATCGCAGGAGAGCATGAGCCAGTGAAGCGTTCCAACGTGTCCCTTGGTCCCCACCTTTGCATCGGTACTAGTGCTGTTCCCCTACCAAGTCTGCCCTTTCCAAGCCTCTATGTTTTATCCATACCTTCATGTTCTACCCATACCCATGGCCAAAGGCTTGAAGGCTTCCATCCACCCCAGCTGAAAGTGACCTTTTTGTCCACAGGCTCCTCAGCACTCAACCTGCCTCCCCAGGGCAAGGACCCTTGTCTTTCTTGAATTACAGTTATCCCCGAGCCTGTCCTTTCTCTCCTAGATGATGCCCACAATGCCAAGAAATGCTCTTTCCCCACCCTGGGCTGTACACCATCACCAGCCTCAGGACCCAGCAAACCGACACAGGTGCCCACCTCTTCTGGAGGGAGTAGCTCCATTTCCTCAGTGTCCTGGGTGACAAGGACTGCTCCAGCTGCCTCATCCCACCCTGGACAGGGAGGACGAAGAAGGCTGCAGCATCTCCACTGTAGTCCATCTGCAGCACAGAGCAGTTCAGCTCTGGGTCCACTCCGAAAGCAAATTTCTCCACCTGGTGCATCATGGGGACCTTCACAGTGGTCTTGCCCACCAAGAATGGGTATCTTTTACTTGTATACACAGGGTTAAAGGGCTTCGCCCACCTGGCTAGCACATAGAGAGAAGAGAAATCTTTATGTCACAGTGCAATTAGTGAGGTAACGACAGCCAAACTGATAAAGGAAGGACCTCTGAACACTCTCTCTACCATAAAAAAATGAGAGAACTGCCAATAACGATTGAAATTAACTTTTCAGAACTCTAGAAATTAACCAAATGCTTAAAAAAAGTGGGAAACAATTCATTAAAGAAAAACAGCTAAATTTTGATAGGAACAGTCTGCTTTGTGGTGTTTCAACTCGCCCTAGTTCCACTGCCCCGCCCCCCCCAAAATGCTCCAGCTCTGTGGTGTCCTTGAAAAGTAAGAGCCTGCATTTGCAGTGAAATTCGGCAACCTGAGGGCCCGGAAGGATAAAAATGGGGCTGGAAGAATTGTCCTCATTGGAGCTGTGTTGTTCTTCCCTGGGAGGCATCACTTGCAGCGCTGTCTGTATTTGATCTGATTGGGAGCTCAACCGAGGCAAAGGGCCATTTCCTTGGGGAAAATTCATCAAAAGTAGCTACAGGTACTGATAAGTTTTGCAGCTGGCTGAGGAAGTAGCTAACAATCAACTAATCAAAAGGCTTAACAGGATAGGTTGGGGGTGAGGGTGGTGGTGGCATCTGTGAAGATAACGGAGTGAGGACCTCTGTATATTTACCCTTTTATAAAGGCAAAAAAAGAAAAGAAAAAAAAAACACCCTGGCAGAAATAGAGGCAGCTTTTTCAGAACTCTGGAAATTAAGCAAAGGCTTGCAGCAGCCTGGGAAGTGTCTATTCCAGGTAAGTGGCTGAATCTCAATGAGAATGGTCACCTCCGTGACATTTTAACTTTGTGTTAGTCTCACCCTCTACTTTCTAGCTCAGCAGCAGCTCTGAAAAACAGCGGACTGTATTCCCAACACCAGGGGAGGAGGAACTGATCTGGAGAAATTTCAAAGCCTCATTTCCAAAGATTTAAAACTACTTGACCTGTCTGATAGTTTCCTGGAACAGCCCACTTCCAAGGCTGATTGGAGCTCACCCAGTGCTAAAAGCATTTCTCCCCCAGGTCAGGGAGTGTTTGTTAGGGGCAATTATAAGCAAGTGTTTTAGCTTCATGGTTGCCTGGAGGAGGATAACAGATGGGACACACAATAGACTAATCAAAACATTTAAAAGGAAAAGCTGAGGGAAAAGATGTCCATAGAGACTTTGGAAGGTTCCAGTATACCCTGGGCTTTTAGATGCTACATGCACGTGTCAGGTATATGTATATTTGAAAAAAAACGAGAAAGCTCTAGTTCTCAGCTCTGGTGGCTGACCTTGAAGGTCTATACAAACAGAAACTGAATGCTGAGTTAGAGCTAGAAACTGCCTTGACAGGTGTTGATGGCACACCCCATGATGCACACAAAGGCCCTTGGCAAAGACTTTCTACAATAAACACAGCTAATGTGGCATTTAATGGTGAGAAACTCTAAGCTTCCCCACCCCTCCATGGTCAGGTACAATGAAAGAATGTCCTTCTTACCACTCCTTTTAAACACTGTACTGGGAGTTCTAGCCAATGCAACAAGACAAGAAAAGGAAATAAAATGTATACAGATTGTGAAGAATGAAATAAAACTGTCTTTGTTTGCAGATGACATGATTATCTATGTAGAAAAATTTAAAAGAATAAACAAAAGAATTTCTGGAACTAATACATGATTATAGCAAGGTTGCAGAATACAAGATCAATATATTGTACAAAAGTCAATCACTTTTATATATACCAGCAATGAACAAGTGAAATTTGAAATTAAAAACAGTACCATTTAGCATCTCCCCAAAATGACATACTTAGATATAAATCTAACAAAATATGTACAAGATCTATAAGAAGAAAACCACAAAACTCTGAGAAATAAAAAATAACTAAATAAATGGAAAGATGTCCTATGTTCATGGATAGAAAGGCTCAATATTGTTAAGATGTCAATTCTCCCCAACTTGATTTATAGATTTAATGAAATCCCTGTCAAAATCCTAGAAAGGTATAGTGTACATAATAACAAACTGGTTCTAAAGCTCGTATCAAGTTGCAGAAGGCCCAGAACAGGCAATACAATATTGAAGGAGAAGAGTAAAGTTGGAAGACTGACTCTAACCAACTTCAAGATTTACTATAAAGCTACAGTTATCCTGAGAGTGTGGTATTGATTAAAAAATAGACAAGTAGATCACTAGAACAGAATAGAGAGCCCAGAAATGACCTAGATAAATATCGTCACCTGATCTTTGACAAAGGAGCAAAGGGCAATACAAAGGAGGAAGACAGTGTATTCAACATATGCTGCTGGAATAACTGACACCCATATTCAAAATAATGAGTCCAGACAGGAACCTTGTACTCATCTCAAAAAATTAACTCAAAATGACTCATAGACCTAAATGAAAAATACAAAACTATAAAACACCTGCAAGATAAAGTAGGAGAAAGCCTAGATGACCTAAGGCATGGCAATAATGGTTTATGTGTCGTGCCAAGGGCATACTATATAAAAGAAATCATTGATAAGCTGAACTTCATTAAATTCAAAACTGGTCTGGAAAGACATTGTTAAGAGAATGAGAAAACAAGCCACAGACAGTAGGAAAATAATTTTAAAATATACATCCGATAAAGAACTGTTACCCAAAATGTACACAGAATTCCTAAAACTTAATAGCAAACAAACAACTGGATTTAAAAACTGGAAAGGCCTTGACAGACAGCTCGTCAAAAAAGATACACAGATGGCAAATAAACATACGAACATACATTCTGCATCATATGTCATCAGGGAAATGCAAATTAAAGTGAGATACCCGTGTACACCTATTCGAGTGGCAGAAGTCTGGAACACTGACACCAAATGCTGGCAAAGATTTAGAGCAACAGAAACTCTCACTCATTGCTGCTGGGAATGCAAAATGGTACACTCACTGTGGAGACTTTGGTGGTTTCTTTCAGAACCAAACCTCTTCTTGCAATCATGCAATCATGCTCCTTGGTGCAAGGAATTGAACGTGATGTTTACAGAAAGACTGGCACATGCCATATGATCCTATTTCTATGAAGTGTCCAGAATGTCTGCAGAGGTAGAAAGTAGATGGCTTGTTGGTGGGGAAAGAGCAGGAGCAAGGAGTGACTGCTAATGGTGAGTGCGTTTTTGTTTGAGATGATAAGAATGGGGATTATATACTAGAGATATTTACACAACCTTGTGGATATGAAATCAAGTGACTATAACCAAAAACCAAAACCCACTGAACAGTATACTTTAAAATGGTGAATTTTATGGTTTATGGATTCTATTTCAGTAAAATTAAGCTAAATGGAACAATACATGTTAAATACAGGAAACTTAGTAGGAACTTGACGCATATTTATTATTCTTCCTTCTTGTCCAACCTTGCAGAATGGATGGGTAAATGGGTAGATGGCTGGATGAGAGGAGGGAGAGAGGGAAGGAAGGAGAGAGCAGAGAGAGGGAGGGATGGCACAATGTGTCCCTGAAAACCTTGTCTGGGGAGTCCAGGTGCTTCACCCATAAGCACAACCCTGTGAAGTTGACTTTATCATCCATCCAGTTAGCATAATCCTGGCTCACATCAGGCACTCAGCACATGTTTGATCTTTTAAGGCAACACACTTAGAATCATGAAGTAAATCAGGGCAAAGGTGGAACTCAACCCTGACATTGTCCAACTTTAGAGCTTAAGCTCATTCAGGGCAACACAGTGTTTTGTAAACTGTGAAGCTCTAGACAGATGCACAGGTGGTGTGCATGACAATTATACTGTTACCCAAATGTACAAAGAATTCCTAAAACTTAACTGGATTCCTAAAACTTAGCAAAGAACTGTCTGGACTTTCCCATCTATGAAAGTGTTCTCACTTTGGGATATGCTTCTTTTTTTATTTTTAAATTACTGTTTACATTCAGTATTATTCTGCATTGGTTTCAGGTGTACAGCATAGTGGTAACACGATCATACAGTTTACGAAGTGACCCCCTGATATTTCCATACTATGCATCTGGCACCATACATAGTTATCACAATATCACTGACTATATTCCCTGTGCTGTACTTTGCATCCCCGTGACTGTTCTGTGACAACCAATCTGGACTTCTCAATCCCTTCACCTTTTCCACCCAGGCCCCCAAGCCCTCCCCTGTGGCAACTGTCAGTCTGGTTCTTAACCTGGGTTGTTGGAAAGCTCTGTGTCCCTTTTCAAAACCTTCAGGGGGCAGTAGGGCAGCTACTGGTGGCAAGAAGTGAGGTCCTTTCTCTGAAACTGATTTCTAGAAAATTTTTGTGTCCCATGAGCTGCCCACAGAGCCCCCTGTTAGCCCCTCAGGACTCATAATCAGGCTGTAAAAGATGAAACTGAATGAGCCCCCACTGTAATTGGTAAATTGAAGCTAAGAGAGGGAACGTGAGATAGCCAAGGTGAGGCACCAGCTCGCTCCAAAGCTAGTTAGCACTCAGCCAGTTAGAACTTGGGCCTTCCCACTGTCCCACCCTGCTCTCCGGGGTTTGTCTAGCTTCCTTATTTGACTGGGGGTGGGGAGGAACAGAACATTAAAATCAGAGTCAACTTCTCAGAGCCTTACCTTTAAAGAAAATGTAGTTCACCAGGACCATGGCTGTCTGAGGTTCAAGGTCTTGGATCAAGTCTGCAACCTTTCCTTTGGTTTCCTTCTCCACATAGCTGTTGATCTTCTTCCGGGCTGTAGAGGCGTTGGAGAAATCTGTAGAAAAGACTTCTGACTCATACAGCCTCCTGACATCATTCAAGAAATCTGCCTGCAGCTGCAGCCCCTTTTTGATGAAAAGGACATTCCCCATCCTCAAGTCCAGGTCTGCGCTGGGGACTCGGAGTGAGTGGACCACACGCTGGAAGCCCTGCTGAATTGTGGCCTCTGGTGTGCGTGTGAGGTTGAACCCCATGCTCTGAAGGATCTGGGTCTTGGTGGCTGCATGGGCTCCTAGGGCAAGCATGGCCAGAGAGGCAGAGACGCTCACTGGAGAGAAGAAGATGTTCTGGCTCGGGGTCTTTGAAACCAGCCGCTGGTACAGGTGGAAGGCGAAGTTGGTGTTGCTGGAAGACACCTGGGAGGCAGGGATGTCCCTTGTGGAGGATGGGCAGAGGGATCCTTTGCTGGGGAGACTGGATGGCGACACACAATAGATTGAAGCACAGAAGCTAACAACTAAGAAAACTTGATGAAAGGAGGATGACATTTTGGAACGAGGTAAGTCTGCAAGAGAGGAAAGAACCATTGAGCAGAGGTAAGCTGAGGGTGCAGGCCCTGAATCAGAGACCTTACAACACTGAGCTCATTAGCAATGGAATGGGGACAAGCAGGACAGTTAACAGATTCCATGGAATCTCAGCCCCGGGGGGTGGGGTGGAGGAAAAGGGGACAGGGAGCTGTAAGAGACAGGCTGCGGGAGCACAGGCCATAGACTTGACCGACTTGACTCCGGGCCGTGGGACCCACTGAAGGGTTGACGCAGAGGCCAGTCTCCATCCGAATGGGATTGTCAAGGGCTGTTCTGGGAGCTACATGTGTCATTCCTTGCTCTTCCCACCTCCAGCCCATTGCAGCACACCATATAGGAGCTCAGTAGATGCTGGTGCACTACCTGGGCTGGAGGAGCATTTACATCAGGTGCCTGACCCAGGGTGGATGGGAACAGAGGAAGGAGGAACGTGGCACTAAAATCCCAAGTGTCTTCTATTTGATGAGCTCTGCAGCTGGCTGGGGTCTTCAGAAAACTGTATGAGAAATGGGGGGTCTGCAGTACACCTGTGATGATCTGGGGGTCTGCTGTGCTAATGTGGGTAGTAATGACTGATTGCAGCACTTGATCTTGACAGCCAGTTGAAAGTCAGAGCCTAAACAAGACCATTTGCTTTTTCCACAACCTCAGAGCAATACATTGTGTTTAAAGAATGCAGCCTTGGGCAGTCACCCTCCAGTTGTGTCAGCTTCCCGAGTCTCACTTTTCCCACCTGTGAGTGAGGGTAGCTCTGAGGAAGAGGACAGATGCTCTCTACATGCCCAGCATGGCGTCTGGCTCAATGTGCATAGGGAGTGGGGTGAAGGGACAGGCATGTCCCTGTGTGAGAAGGATGAGGTTGAAGGAAGGGAAGGGCAGCCTTGCTCTAGGGCAGAAGAGGCACAGCCGGGCACAGGGACGGCGCACACCACGGAGCACCAGGGACCTGTACCCCTCTCTGGCGAGGAATGGGTGTGGGTGGGGATTCCAAGGGGCGTCTGCTGACACCAGCTCTGCCGCCCAGAGGGTCCACCTCCCCGTCAGCAGATGTGGCTTTGCTAGAGGACATCTGACTCCATACCCAAATCCTCCTGAGTGGGGGTCCTGGGCTGGGTGGGGGGATCTGCCTGAACCAGTGGCCTCTCAGGCAGCCAGCTAGTAAATGTTCTGGTCCTGTCATGGCCTGGGCTCCCTGTGGTCTCGGGCAAGGCGCTGGTTCTCTCTGGGCCTCAGAGAGGAGGCCTCGAGGGGCTTCCTTCCTTGGCCGTCTGGGCTCTGTGGCCGTGGGCCTCCAGGGGCAGGTCCTCACACTGCAGACCTCCTTCAGGCACCTCTCAAAATCCAACCTTCACACCTGGCCTCTCCCCATTCCGAACTCCTGTCCTCCCATGGTGGCCCTTCTGTCTCCCCGCTGTCTCTCTCCCCCAGTCCGATAAGGACCCTATCCCTGCTGTGTCACGACTGAGGTCTGAGGGTGTGCAAGACTCCTGCCAGTGAGCTCTTCCCATCAGGGTGACAGGGACAGTTTGTCCTGCTCCCCACTGTGGCTGCCCCTGTCTGGGCCCCGCTCTCCCAGGTGCCCCGGCCTTTGTCCCACCTGCCATTGTCTCTCACCTGCTCAGTTCCTCACTCATCTAGGCACCTGTCCACCCTGCAGACAGGGCGAGCTTTCTAGATGCAAATCTCATGTGTCACTCTCCCACTCGGATTCCTCAGTGGCTCCCCTCTGACCTCGGGAGGAACGCCCAAGCACCTGGCATGTCAGGTCCTTGCCATTGGGCCCCCAACTTATGTCACTGGCTTCATTCTTGGGTACCAACTGTTCCAGTTTCCTGGAAAGGTTGCGTTTCTCTCAGCCTACCCACCCTCCGCTGTTTTCATTTACCTTCTTATCCAGCCTGAGTGTCAAAAGGCTTGGTTTCATTCCAAACCCTGCACTCCCTGGGGCCTCGGCCTCTCTGACAAGCATGTTCAGCAAGGCCCCCAGGAAGGGCTGTTTGGCCCACTGCACATTTCCAATCGCCAATCTTTATTTGCCTGTTACCATAGCACTGATCCACTCATTGCCCCACTGACTGTTGGGAATATCTCAACCTTTCCCCTTTCTGTCCAATGGGCTCTTCACCCAGCCATGTATGCACACACATGCAATGCCCAGATCACCTTGTCTCTTACCTCCCACTAAAGACAGCCCCTCAGAAAAGGAACTCCCCCAGCCTCCTCCACCAAAGACACAGCCCTACTCTACCTGGCTCGCCTCCCCTCCCCCACTCCTCCCCTCTACTCCTCCTTCTAGGGTCAATACTCCTTCCAGAACTTGAGAAAGCATCCTTTATCTCCAACTCAGGACCCCTATACCTCTCTCTTCTGTATTTCTGTGCTCCCTCCTAACTGGGTTCTCACCACTGGCTTAAAAAGACTTTCAAATCTTGCCCATGAAGACAAATAAACCACCAATGACACAATAAAAATCTCATTCCCTTCTAGATGCTGCCCTGTCTTCCTTCCCTCCGTCACAGCCCAAATCTTCAAGAGCTGTATATTCGTGGTGTCTGTGGCCTCACCTCCCACACTGTCCCTGGCCCACCCTTGTCTGGGTTCTGGGTCCACAGAAATGGGACCAGCCCACAGACTGTCACTTTCACTGGTTTCTCTTCTGCCCTTCCCTTATGGGCCCCAGCACCCAGCACTCTGCAGCGCGCTCCTCACTTTAATCTCCCTTCTCTCATCAGCCTCCCATCCCACACCGCCCACTGCTCTATTACTAAAAAATGCAAATCACTTATTTTTCATCCCCAGCTCAGACCTTCCTCTGAACTCCATATATCTATCCACTTACTCAGTGCTTCCTCCTACTGTTGCCAGTAAACCTTAAGCTCAGAATCACCCAAACTGAACTCAGGCTCTTAACCAAACACCATCTCCCAAAAACGGGACAACTGAAAATGCTTTCAATATCTCCATCCATGACAGCCCCACTCACCCAGTTATTCAAAAGTAGGATTCAGCCTTGTGCCTGCTCCTTCCTTATCTCCCAGCCCACCACATCAACACTTAAATATTTCAATAGCTTCACATTTCCTAGAGCAGACAGTGAAATCTTTCACTAAACCTGCATCATTTGGCCTCTTGTGGCACCCCCAACTCATCGTCCGACTCAGAGGCCCTTGCTCTGGATGGTTATGTCCGGCCATCCGGCGCATCTCCTTGACCCTCACGCGGGATGTTTGCTGTTCTCTACTCTTGTTCTTCCCTCTCCCTTCATCAAACTTTTTTCCCTGATTGATTTGTATTTATTGCTAGGTGCTACCCAGTTCATGTTACTTCCTCAAGGACACTCTCTTTGACCACCCAGAATAAGGAAAATTCCTTATAAGATGTTTTTTTATGGTACTATTAATCTCTTAGTGAAACACTTATTTCTGTCATACTCTGACATTTATTTGTGTGACTGAGAATTTAACAAATCAAGGTAGTTGCCTATCTTGTTCTCTCTGTATATCACTGTAAGGTCAATGCTAAGGACTCAGGAGGTGTTTGATGAGTGAGTGAATGAATGAATGAGTAAATTAATGAATGAAAATATAAATGAGCAGTTTACTTCTGAAGGTTGATACTGACTGGAAATGAGCAAGAGAGACTCTTTCAGGGTCTTTTAGGGTTAATGAAGGTGATAGTTATACAGGTATATACCTATATAAAATTTGAGTTTACTTACACTTCTGGCCAAAACAAAAATGACTGATGTTGGACTTTTAAACAGAAAAATTTTGGAAGTCCTAGCCACAGTGATCAGACAAGAAAAAGAAATAAAAGGCACCCAAATTGGAAAGGAAAAAGTAAAACTCTCATTGTTTGCAGAGGACATGATAGTGTACATAGAAAACCCTATAGACTCCACCAAAAAATGACTCGACCTAATAAGTGAATTTGTCAAAACAGTGAGATGCAAAATCAATATTCAGAAATTGAAGGCACTTTTATACACCAACAACAAAATATAAGAAACAGAAATCAGGAAAAAATCCCATTTGCTATAGCAACAAGAAAAATAAAGTACCTAGGAATAAACCTAACCAAAGAGGTAAAAGACCTGTACTTGGAAAACTATACAACACTGAAAAAAGAAATTATAGAAGACACATATAAATGGAAGCATATACCATGTTCATGGACTGGAAGAATTAACATCATCAAAATGTCCATACTATCCGAAGTAATTTATGGACTCAACTCAATCCCTATTAAAATACCAAAGACATATTTCACAGATATAGAACAAGCATTTCAAAAATTTATGTGGAACTATAAATGACTCCAAATAGCCGCAGCAATTTTGAGAAAGAAGAACAAAGTAGAAGGGATCACAATATCTGATATCAAACTATATTATAGGGCCACTGTAATCAAAAGAGTCTGCTACTGGCATAAGAACAGACATATAGAACAATGGAATGGGATAGAAAGCCCAGAAGTAAACTCTCATCTCTGTGGTCAATTAATATTTGACAGAGTGTGGGAGCATTAAGTGGAGTCAAAATAGCCCCTTCAGTAAATGCTGTTGGGAGATCTGGACAGCTACATGCAAAAAGAAAAAAAAAAAGAAAGAAAGAAACTCAACCACCAACTTATGCCATACATAAAAATACATTCAAGATGGATAAAAGACTTAAATATGTTACAACCCCATAAAAGTCTAGAGGAGAGCATAGGTAGTAAAATCTCAGATA